TATGATGTCGCTGTTGGAATTCCCTCTGATTGGTCGACCGAAGAGGAAAGACCGGGACCTTTTCCTATCATCGATCCACTGCTACTGGTCGAAGTTCTTATTCGATCGCTTCGCTCATGCCGCCACACCAGTGTTGACAGGTGACGGTGCAATCGCGGGCGCGAGGCGACGGCGGGCGTCCTGTAGCGCTCCCAGGCTGCCGTGGTGTTCACAGGCATATTGTGGCGAGCAGGGGCCGCCAAATAGGAGAAGGAGGGTTCTGGCAGAGGGAAGAACATAATTGTTTACGCTTCGCGGATCCCCACCAGCCCATCCAGAAGCGATGCCAGGGGGCTGATGCTGGTAGTGTTAGTGTTAGTAATACTGCTGCTGGTGTTGCCGCTGCCGTTGCTGCTGGTGATGGTGATGCTGCTGCTGGTGGTGCTGTTGCTGCTGGTGATGGTGATGCTGCTGGTGCTGCTGTTGGCGCTGGTGGTGATGGTGGTGCTGCTGCTAGTGCTGATGCTGCTGGTCGTGCTGTTGGCCCTGCTGCTGGCGCTGCTGCTGATGCTGCCCCCTGGTGCTGTTAGTGCTGGGGGTCCTGGTGCTGCTGCAGGTGCTGCTGATGCTGTTGCTCGTGGTGCTGATGGTGCTGCTGCTGGTGTTGGTGATGATGGTGGTGGTGCTGCTGCTGCTGGTGCTGCTGGTGCCGCTGGTGCTACTGCCACTAGTGCTGCCGCTGCTGGTGGTGGTGCTGCTGGTGGTGGTGCTGCTGCTGGTGCTGCTGTTGGCGCTGCTGGTGCTGCTGGTATGGTGCAATGCGGGTGCTGTTGCTGCTGTTGGTCCTACTGCTGGTGCTGCTGCCTGTGCTAGTGCTGATGCTGCTGTCTGTGGCGCTGCTGCTCTTGCTAGGGGTGCTGCTGCCGGTGCTGGTTGCAGTGGTGGTGCTGCCGCTGCTGGTGGTGGTGCTGCTGCTGCTGACGCTGCTTTCTTGGTTTCTTTTTTGGGGGGTGCTGTTGGGACTCTCTCGTGGCCCTCTTGGGGCTGTTGCGATGTCAACATCCTGAATGTTCAAGTATTCGAGATTCGAGCATGCTTCTGGCCCGTTGGGTCCGGCGAATTCAGCGCCAGCATGTCGTGGTTATCGTCGCACAGCGGGGAGCACTCCTCCAAAGTGGAGTTAATCATGCGGACGCATACGTTCATCGGACCAGCGCCCCGATACCTGTACGCAGAGCTCCTCGGCAATGTACGGTCGAAGATTCTTCACGACCGCGTGTTGGGGGTATTGCGAGAAATGCGATCAGCCATCGAACTCCGCTTCGGAGTGAACCACGCGCTGTATAATCTACAGGTCAACCCGTGCGACCTGTGCCATTTCGCAGAAGGAGTGCGGCCGAGTCGGAATGGCGTTTGGAAACCAGACGATTACGATTTCAGTAACCATGCCAGAGCTCGGGGCTTCAGCGTGGCGAATCAGGCCGGGGCCACAACACTTTCGTTGGAAGATTACGTCGTTAGGGCGAACTTGTCCATTTTAGCTCCGCTGGACGGAGGTATGCAGCATTTTTCCACGAAATGGCGCAAGTTAACAATGTCGCAGAGGGTATGGATGGCCCGGGGCATGGACATCAGTCACGGACACGATCTGGCAGGGTGTAAGCGCATCGTGCGGGCTGTGCGAGACGCAGAGTTGCAATGGGTGCAAATGGCCGGCGGCGCTCGGTTGGCCCGCGTGCGGTCGACATGGCTCCCGTCATGGCTCCCCTGGCTCCACCCCCCTGTGAGGATTTGAACCCCACCCTCGCGGCCCTCTTGCAAGGGGGCGCCGGAGTTCAGCATTGGCTTCACTGGGCGCGGGAGGAGGAATCATATCAACGTGTGATTTACTGTGTGCTTTGCGGTGGTTTCGTCTCTTGTAAAGGAGGGGAGAAGCTCCGCAATCCTTGCACTCGCCCCAAGAAGAGCTCCGAGAGGTCGAAGCTCCTGCGAGGCATTGTGCCAGGGACGTCCTCCAGGCTTGGCCAGTCTTTCCCTCTTTCCTCTTTGCCCTCCTTCCCCCTTCCCCCTCCGCCGCCCCTTCCCCTGCCTCAGCCCCCGACTGGGCCAGGTCTGTGAGTCGTCCACCCTTCTTGTTGTAGAGCGTCAGTTGTCCATCGGATGAGTAGGCGTTCTTGAGTCGCTGAGAGGAGGAGGAGGAGGAGGAGGAGGAGGAGGAGAAAGAGGTTTTTTGGAGCCTCTTGGGGCACTCTTGGGGCTTGCTGGGAGCTTCCTGGAGGCCTCTTGGAGGCCTCTTGGGGGCCTCCTTGGGCCTGCTGGGGGCGTTCGGGGGCTTCTTGGGGGCCTCTTTGGCCGTCTTAGGGTTTTCCTGGCCCGTCTGACGCCGTCTTGGGGGCCTCAGGGGGCGCCTCAGGGCCGTCTTGGAGGCAGTCTTGAGCGTCTTGGAGGCCTCTTGGGCCGTCTTGGGGCCTTTTTGGGGCCTTCTTGGGGGCCCCTTGGGCCGTCATGGGACCATCTTGTAGGCCTCTTCGGCGCTCTTGGGGCGATGTTGGGGGCCTCTTGGGCCGTCTTGGGCCGTCGGAGAGCTGATGCCAAAATCTTTCCAAAACTTCAAGAAACAAAACAATGATTTTGGCCTCTTCGGGCCTTCCTGGAGGAGCTCTTAGAGGCCTCTTGGGCCGTCTTGGGGGCCTCTGGGGGGCCTCTTGGGCCGTCTTGGGCCATCTTGAGGCCATCTTAGGCCGTTTTGGGTGCATCTTGGGCCGTCTTGGCGGCATCTTGGGGCCATCTTAGCCATCTTGGAGGCCATATTGGCCGTCTTGGAGGCCTCTTGGAGCCCTCTTGGGGCCGTCTTGGGGGCCTCTTAGGCCGTCATGGGCCATCTTGGAGGCCTCGTGGGCGATCTTGGGGCGATCTTGGGGTCCTCTTGGGCCGTTTTGAACGATCGGAATGCCGAAAAGAAGAACATGCCAAAATCTTTCAAACATTTAAGGGAAATCAATGATTCTATAGGCTTACGCCACATCCGCCGACCCCTTGAATTTTCCTGGCGCGTGTCGTGTCCGAGCAGGCCGTTTCCTCCCACTCAGGCCGCCGTCGCCGTCGCAGGGGCCGAATCGGGGCCGCCTGACGATCCTCGAGAAGGGTGTGCCGACATGAGGCCTCGGTGCAGGTCCCTGTGGGGTCTGTGCCACGATCCTCGAGAGGGGTCCCGAAATGAGGCTTCGGTGAAGCTCCCTGTGGGGCGAGGGCCACGATCCCCGAGATGGGTGTCCCGGAATGCAGCCTCGGTGGAGCTCTTTTTCGGCACACCCTCCATCCCTCCATCCCTCCGTCCCTCCATCTCTCCATTCCTCCATCCCTCCATCCCTCCATCCCTCCATCCCGCCATCCCTCCATCCATCCATCCCTCCATCCCGCCATCCCTCCATCCCTCCATCCCTCCATCCCTCTATCCCTCCATCCCTCCATCCCTCCATCCCTCCATCCCTCCTTCCCTCCATCCCTCCATCCCTCCATTCCTCCATCCCTCCATCCCTCTCTCCATCCCTCCATCCCTCCCTCCATCCCTCCATCCTTCCATCCCTCCATCCGTCCATCCCTCCATCCCTCCCTTCCATCCCTCCATCCCTCCATCCATCTCCATCCATCCCGTCCATCCCTCCATCCATCCCATCCATCCCTCCATCCCTCCATCCTCCATCCCTCCATCCCCATCCCTCCATCCATCCCTCCATCCCTCATCCCGCCATCCCCTCCATCCCTCCATCCCATCCCTCCATCCCTCCATCCCTCCATCCCTCCATCCCTCCATCCCTCCATCCCTCCATCCCTCCATCCCTCCATCCCTCCATCCCTCCATCCCTCCATCCCTCCATCCCTCCATCCCTCCATAGGGAAATGCATAGTGCGTGCGGCGGCCCTGACCCATTCTGTGTGGGAAAATATCCCATGCGCGAGGGGCCAGGGCCGCCGCGCGCACGGCGGCCCTGGCCCGTTCTGTATGGGAAATTGCATACTGCGTGCGTCGGCCCTGGGCCATTCTGTGTGGGAAAATATACCATGCGCGAGGGGCCAGGGCCGCCGCGCGCGCGGCGGCCCTGGCCTTTCTTTCATGGAAAAATGCATAGTGCGTGCGGCGGCCCTGGCCAATTCTGTGTGGGAAAATGTACCAGGCGCGAGGGGCCAGGGCCGCCGCGCGCGCGGCGGCCCTGGCCCGTTCTGTATTGGAAAATGCATAGTGCCTGCGGCGGCCCTTGCCCATTGTGTATCAGTATCAATATCGGTATCAGTATGAGTATCAGTATCAGTATTAGTGCTAGTATTAGTATCAGTACTAGAATTTGTGTTAGAATGAGAATTAGTATTAGTGTTAGTATTAGTATTCGGATTAATATTAGGATTCGTATTAGTATTAGTATTAGTCTCAGTCTTAGGCCTAGTCTTAGTCTTAGTATAAGTAGTAGTATTATTGGTGTTAGTCTAAGTACTAGTAATAGTAATCGTATTAGTATTAGTAGTAGTATACGTATTCGTATTCGTATTCCCATTCGTATTCGTATTAGAGTGAGTATTCGTATTAGTATTAGTGTTAGTATTGATATTCGTGTTTATTATTGGTATTTGTATTTGGATTAGTATCAGTATTCGTATTCGTATTCGTGTTCGTATTAGTAGCATCAGTATTATTATTAGTAGTAGTATTCGTATTAGTATAAGTATTAGTATCAGTATCAGTATCGGTATTAGTATTAGTAGTAACCGACAGTGTCAGTATGAGTATTATTATTAGTCTTAGCATGCGTAGTAGTAGTATGAGTATGAGTATTAATATCAATGATAGTTTTCTCGAGGTCGGGAGTTCTGGGGGCTCGACGGACCCGCTGGGCCGGAGACCGGGGACCGGGGACCGAATTGTTTTTCCTGGCCACTGCTTTGTCTTTTCACGAGCCCGCGCCAGGCGCTCCCCGCGCCGCCCCCCCCTCCCTGGCCGCGCCTCGGCCCTTCCCCTCGCGCGGGCGATGGAGCCGGTGCCGGAGCAAACGGGGTGTGCCGCGGAGCCTTGCGTGGAAGACCTCTTCTCAGAGGGGCCGTCTGGGGACGAGGGCGCCTTCTGGGACGCGGTCGACAAGGATTGTGACGCGAGGGCGAAGCAGCAGGAAGCGCAAGCTCTGATGCTGGTGTCGCAGAAGCTTCGAGAGGATGCCCGTCGCACCCGCGAGGTTCGCGCCCAGCTTGGGCCCTCAACACCGCAGAAGGCCAAGCAGAGTCTGATTTCAAGGTTCATGGCGGACACGCCGAGCCCGCCGGCCGCGCAGGAGGGCACCCTTGAGGGCCGCAGAGGCCGCCGGGGGCCGAAGCACCCTTGCTACATGAACGCGGAGGAGAGGGAGCAGGCGATCAAGAAGAAGGCGATCAGGCAGCAGGACGAGTCCTTGAGAATCCAGGCGCTTGAGCTGGAGAGCCAAGCGAAGGCTGCCGAGGAGTTGAGCAACGAGGCCGCGGCGGTGGCAAGCCAGGCCATCGCAATCCTCGAGCCGCATGACGTCGTCAGCGACTTGGCTGAGGCTTCGGAGGTTCTTCAGGTCATTGCCCGCAGAGGGCGTGGCAGACCGCCGCACACGGCCGAGCAGAAGGCTGCGGCGAAGGAGAGGAAAGCCAAGGTGAAAGCGCAGAAGGGCAAACTCCAACCAGAGGACAGGGAGAGGATGCAAACGCCGAGCGCCACGGCCAGGAGCATGATCGTTGATCGCGTCGACGCCCTCTCGAAGGAGGTCGACAATTACACCACCAACGAATTCTGGTCGCTCGCTGAGGACCTCTGCGGGGTCCCCGCGAGCATGCTGAAGCGGTTCGCGAAGCCCGAGGAGAGGGAGAAGCTTTCCCGCTACTTGGACGCCCGCGGTCCTGAGAGGTCAGAAGGGGATCCTCAAGACATTTTTGTGGCACCCAGGTGGCTGTCAATCAGCCCTCCCGCTCGCCCCGCCATTCTGGGTCCCCTTTCGCCCCCGAGAAAGCCCAAAGGAAACGTTGCCCCTTCGGATGGGCCGCCGGCGAAACGGCAGAGACACCCCAGTGGTTTTGGGCTCGAAGAAAAGCGCTCCCTCCCCCCGAAAAAAGAATCGTCGCTGCCTTGGGATCCTCTTTCTGGAAAGGGAGCGCCGTGGCAAACAACGCTGCTGGAAGAGGTTCATCAGCACCGACACCGGGTGCCGCCTCTCGAAGGATGGCGCCAAGAAGAAGACCTACGAGTCGCCCGTCAAGGACGTTTACGATTACGTCAAAGCGTGGAAGGACAGGCAGGAGGAGATCGGTTTCGAGCTGAACCAAGAGGACTTGGTCGACGAATTCGAACTCGAGCTGGAGAGCAGGGTGTTCGACCTCAAGGAGAGCGGGGGGGGCGTCAAGCTCGTGTCGGAGATGGAGAGGCGCCTCGCCAAGTTGGCAGCCCCAGGAAATAGGAAATACGCTCGGGCACGGCTGGGCAGCTGGCGCGGCGTGGTCGAGCACAAGCCCTCCAACGTGGTGCCGTTCACGGCGGCCGAGAACGACCTCATCTGCAAGTTGTCGTACCAGGCATGGGACTGGCTCGTCGATCTGCTCATGACCGCCACCGCGGACGAGCTGCAGGGCTTCGTCGCTGACGCCCAGGGGCTCGTGGAGAACAGGCGCCAGCTGGCCGTCATCGCCCAGGACGCCTCCCCAGTCTACCTGGACTGCAGCACGGGGAAGGTCCTGGTCAGGACGTCGTTCCTGGACGAGCGCCAGAAGCGGCGGAGGCTGCGCCTCGCGGCCCAAAAGGACACTGTCTTCGAAAAGCCCCTCGCCGCGGAAATCTGGGCAGGCAGCTGTCCTGGTCGGTTGGCCGCGGAGTAGGCATCGGCCGAGACAGCTTGCGGCCCTGGCTCCCCGAGCGAAGTGCGGCCTATATCACCTTTCCGCCCCCAGGACCCAAGCGCGCCGGTGCCGGAGATCATGTCGGTGGCGCAGCCGAGCGACGCCGTGGGCTCCAGCAGGAGGGAGAAGAACAGGTGGGCGCCCGCAATCGACACCCGCCCCACGGCCATTTGCGTCCAGCGCGCTTTCACGGCACATGCGTGAGAGGGCGCGCGGGCAAATGGGCGCGGGCCGCGTCGCCGATGCGGGCGCCATAGGTTGACTTTCTTCTTCCGCCAGGCGCTGGAAGGCCTGTGGGACCCAGACGTGGCGGTGCCGACGGGCAAGGTGCTCGACGGCGTCTTGCTCGCCGTCGCCTCGAAGCACTACCGTTTGGAGGACATGTCTTTCTTCGAGCCGGCGCAGTGGTTGCGGGACCACTCGTTCTCGCTCGACGGGGTCATGGTCAAGCGGGTGAAGGGCGAGGCAGTGGGGCCGCTGGGCTCCGAGTGGCGGGCAGCCAGGCGCCATAACAAGGCTTTGTTCTACGCACCTGGCACCGATTGGGGGCAGCCGCCTGACACGTGGCGCCCAGGGCACGTGAGGCTGTGGTGCGCCCCAAAGGCCACGGAAGACACGATCATCGCGTCCTTCCTCACGGACCTCTCGGTGGAGGAGGGGTACCAGTACTCCCTGAAGACTGTGGACTGTGTTGCCAGCGAGCATTCTGAGATCATGGACTTGCACAATTACATGCACAACCAGGTAGTCCACACAGTCGGCATGCGCCAAACCGCAAAAACACAGGTGACAGACGTGCGGGAGGCCGTGATCGGCAAGGCCGGGGGCGAGAAAGTCAAACACCAGCGGAGGAGATTGAAGAGACTTGCGGGTAACATGTCAGGCCAGGCGTCCGACCTCACGTCCGACAAGGTCGACCTCATGCACATTGCCCAGGGCATGCAGGTGGAGTGCCGACGGGACAACGCCGAGAACCAAGGCGTTCTGAAGGCGTTCCGCATGGGGGGTTGGCTAGCGCACAAGCCAACCGATCGCGGGCTGGTTCCCCTCGTGGGCCCCGCGTGGCGGCAATTTCCATTGGGGGGCTCCCGCCTCTCGAACAGCCTCATGGCGGACAGGGTGAACTACGTGCCCGTGCACGGCAAGCCCGAGAAGCCCGATTGGGGCCAGCTCCGGGCCCTCCGCGCCAGACAGCGGGCGGCATACGTGCAGCAGAAGGGCCAGGGCATCAGCGAGGACAGGAAGCAGGAGCTCCTGCTGGACGACGAGGAGATCGACGGGTTCGTTTCCTACCTCGGCGGCTGGGGCCAGCGGCCCTTCGCGGAGCACGAGGAAGCCCTGGCGGCTGCGGCCAGCGACCCTTCGCTGGCCAAAGGCCCGTTACGGCCCTTCGAGCCGATCAGCTTGGCCGGCTTGATCAGCGCTGAAGCCTTGGCGGAGGAGGCGGCTTTCCAGTCGCTGCACCCCCGCGTGAAGCAGGCCATCTTGGCTGGGGGCGCCATTGCCAAGATGCCCAAGGTGACGAAGAGCTTTCGGGGTCTCGCGGCCGAGAAGCGGGTCGAGAAGGCAATGGCCAGGAAGACCCAGGCGGCAGAGAAGAAGGCCGAGTGGCGCGCTGCCATCGACTCGCTCGGCATCGAGGCCGCTCGCAAGCAGTTGTGCGTGCCCGCCGTCGCGACGAAGGCGGCGAAAAAGACGAAGGAGCAGGCCAAGACGAAGGGCAAGAAGGGCGGCGCGGGGAGCACCAAGCGGAGGCAGGCCAAGAAGGGCAAGCAGAAAGCCGCGGCGCGGAAGGGCGCCCGCGCCAAGGCAGCCGCCACTTTCGCAGGGAATGTGGCGACGCTGGAGGCGAAGCTGAAGACGCTGCAGGCCCAGCTCCACGGGGCGGGGCAGGAGGCCGAGTCGCAGAAGCAGGAGGCCAAGCAGGGAGCCGAGGCGCTCGCCGCGCCGCCGGGGGAGCAGCCCGCGGCCGCCGCGGCGGCCGAGAGGAAGCGCTTGCGGGTGCACGCGGACAACCTCACAGTGCGATCGCTGCAGCTCCAGGGCCTGCACCGCCAGCTGCAGGACCAGCAGCAGGAGCTGGACAACGCAAATAAGCTTGGCCAGAAGGCCCTCGGCCAGGTCAAGCGGAAGGCCAACGCCGCCATGCAGGCGGCCGAAAGAGCCCTTGCCAAGAAGCCCAGGACGGGCGAGGTGGGCGAGGGCGCAGGCATTGGCGGCGCCGTGGGCTTGCCGCCCCCGCCGCCCCTGGCGCCGACGGCGCCGTCCGTCCCCAGCAGGCCCGCGGGCGACCCTGGCGCTGCGGGTTCGCCGCGCCCGCTGGCCGCGCCCGTGGCGGACTTGCTGGCCGCCGCCTCGCCCGCTCAGGCGGCGCCGTCCGCTGGCGACGCTGGCGAGCTTGGGGCCAACGACGATTGGCTCGGCGTGGCCAGTGCGGCGGACTCGGCGCGCTCGCCGCCCCCGCCGCCCCCGCCCCCAGCTGGCTCGCCTGCCCCCGACGCGCCAGCTGCCTCTGCGCGCGCAGCGGGCGCGGCCGCCGCTTTGCCGACGGGGTGTGCGGGCGCCGCCCCGCTTCCTGCGGCCGCGTCCCGCCTCGAGCCGGGGTGCAGAGTGCAGGTCGACTGCGACGCGGTGTGGGCCAGCGACAGGGCCGCGGCCGCGCGGCTGACCAGCGGGCTCTGGGGCACAGTCGCATCCGTGAAGGGTCCATCGGCGTGGATCCACCCAGGCGGCGACACGTCTGCCAACAAGAGACAGGTGCCCGTCAGCTGGTTGGTCCCCGCCCCGGACGAGCCGAGCAAACCGTTGCCCTGGAGGAAGAACGCGGGGTGGCTCGGCAAAGAGCAGCGCGAGGAGATCAGGAAGGCGTGGCTCCCCGTGGACATAGAAGTCCGCCGGGCCCCAGGCGCCCGCACCCTGCTGAGCGAAGCGGAGCTCGCCATCGCGGCGGTGGAGATCGGTTGGCGCCTGACGCCGCCCCGCTGCCTGGTGGCGCCACCGCACATCACCACCCTCGTGGCGCACCACGTGCGCAACCACGATGCGGCCCATGACAGGTACGGCGAGGGCGAGGAGCTTGTTGCCGAACTCCGCCGGTACGCGGACCGCGCGCATGTCCTGGCGATGCCCATCCTCGCCGGCAACCATTGGGTGCTGCTCGTGGTCCAGCGCGCTGGCGCCGTCTCCGAAGGCGTCCCCGCCGCCGTCGAGGCCGATACCAAGCTTGACGGGTATGGTGTTGGGTGTGGAGCATGCGGGGGCGCTGGGTGCAAGACGTGCTCGTACACTCACGCCGAGAGGTGGTTGGGCCGCCTGAGTAAGGTGTCCGAGTTCATCACTCCATGTACGTCCTTGGCGCCCCTCGAGCCAGCGACTTGGTGGAATATCCGCTATTACGACTCGCTGCGTCAGCCGTCGAGGGCGCGCGCCGATTGCGCCCATGCCCTGCTCGACGCTTTGCAGCCCGTCGGTGTCCAGAACGTGCTGTCGGCGAAGGAGTTGGCGGCTTCGAGGGCGAACAAGGCCTTCCAGTCTGACGGCTCCTCCTGCGGATGGTGGTGCCTCCACCACATGGAGACCGAGTTCCGCAGGTTCGTGGGCGAGACGTCCGTCGCCTTCGACCTGCAGCGCAGGGTCGACTTGGCCTACCCGATCGTGAGCAAGTTCCTGCCGTAGGGGAGGCTGTGGGTGGCTGCGAGTGGCTGCCAGGTATAGGAGGACGAGACCTATGCATTTACACAGATCCGGGCCAGGTCCATCCTGGGCCCAGGATCGGTGCATTCGCCCTCCTGGCTTGGCCAGGGAGGCATGTACACAGATCCTGGGCCCAGGGTGGGCCTCGGCACGAGCGGTGTATGTGCATACTTCTCATCGCCCGACAGGTATCGGCGGCCGTGCGCGAGACGCCCAGTGGCTGGGCGGACAAGCTCATGGACACCCAGCTGGACAGCGAGGTGTGTCGGCCCATCAGCGACACCGCTTGCAAGGGGAGCCTGTCATCAGGCTTGGGGACGGCAGCTTGCGAGTGCAGGCTGCGGCTCAGAGCTGTGATTGCGGACACAGCAAAATTGTCGAAATGAGCTTCCTTCCTCCTCGTCGCTTCCCATTGGGCCCGTTCTGCGGGCGCCCGCTTGCATCTGCCTACCATCGCAGACGTCTTTGGTTGAGGGTCAGGCGGCTCCAAGAGTCCCCAAGACGGGTGAGAGAGCAAGCCCCCCCCCCCAGATATCTCATGTGTTCGGCGGGGTGGCGCCGATGGCGTAATCAGGGTCAGTTTGCGCACTGGTTAAGTAGTTTGTTCTGGTCGTCTTGAAGTCTGGGGGCTTTGCGGGGCCGTCCAGAGTGGCCTCCTAGATATATCATGGGGCCCTCAAATACGGCGGGGGCATTGGATAAGGAATGCCTTCCTGAGGGGCCAGACCCTGGCGCATTCCTTCCTGTTTCGTTTGTTTTGAAGCGGGGTGGGTGGCCCACGACCAGCCGTCCGTCGGTCGCGAGATCCTGGGTTCCTCATCCAAGGTTTCCTTATCCGATGCCCCCGCCGTATCACCTTGGGGTCATGCGGCGGCTCTGCGCCGCTCGGCATACAGAGCCTCCTCCGATCCGTTTTGCATGTGTTCTTCAGTAGCCATGGCGCTCAAGAAGGGCGCCGCCGCCGCCCCCAAGGCCAAGGTGAAGGCCGCCCCGCCCACCGGGGTCGCCCCCAATGCCAAGGCCGCGCCGCCCACCGCGGCTGCCCCCGAGGCCAGGGCCAAGGCCGCGCCGCCCGCCGTGACCTTCCCCGCGCCGGCTGCCGCGGTGGGCCACGATGAGCCCCGCGCCAAGAGGCGGCGTCTACCCACGCGGGACGGGGCGTACAGGAAGAAACCGCCTGGTACGTCGGGGTACAAGAAAGCCCAGGACCTCCGGAGGGCAGCGGAGGCGAAGTTGGACGAGTCAGAGGCGCAGTTGCGCGAGTCAATCCTCGCTTGGGAGCGACGCTCGATGGTGGGCGAAGACGGGTGGGGGCGTGCCCGGGCTGCCCAGGACAGGGCGGAGGCTGCTGAGGCAGCTGTCGCCCGAATGCGGCGGGAAACCGAGCGCTCGGCCAACGACGTGGCGTCGACCACCCGCCACTACGAGCGGTGGATGGAGATCCACAGCATGCCGAAGCCGCCGCTCCGCGACTCCACAGGCGCCGTGGCGTGGCCTCGGACGGCGGCCGAGGCCGAAGCCCAGGAGCGCGAGGCCGCGGCGTGGCTCCGCCGCCGCGCCGCCGGTCTGGCGCTGCCCGCCAGATCGCCCCCGCCGCGGCGTGGTTAAGGAGCCACGGGTTTTGAAATGCCCCCCCTCGCCTTGCCTGCGCAATGAATCAATTATGTTTTGTCGGCCCTCCTTCCAAAGAGGACGCGGACGGTATCATGAGGCAGGCGACCGAGGGCCGTGGGTTCGTGGGACCGTGCGTGCACGCTCCTGTAGTGGTCTGCGCGGGAGCCCTGCTGGATGGCCTGCTCTGCGGCATTGACGAGCGCGACGGCAGCGGCGGCTTGTTGAGTCCCGCGGCCCTGGTGACTCACGTGGGCATGCATTACGCGTAGTGCGCTAAAATGCCTTCCTCGTCTTACGGCTAGCCATTGCGAACCACAGCCGCCAATGCATTTCTGGAAAGTCCTAAGTGGCCAAACGTCGGGTCATTGGCCAATATGTTGGATTATATGTGCCTCCCCATTCGCTGAGCCACTCCCCGCATCAAACCCTGACCAACCGTCTAACCCAGATGTGCGCAGAGGGAGTAGGATGAGGAGGATGATGGAGAGGAGGAGGATGAGGAGGAGGAGGAGGACGAGGAGGAGGGGGAGAAGGAGGCTTATAGAACCCGGAGGGAAGGTCTTCCCTAGGCCTACCCTAGGCCCTTCCCCTAGGCCTTCCCTTGGCTTACCTAGGTTTTTCCCCTAGGCCCCCTACCTTAGGCCCTTCCCCTAGGCCTACCCTACCCTAGGCCCTTCCCCAATGTTTACCCTAGGCCTACCATAGGCCTACCCTAGGCTTACTCTAGGCTTCCCCTAGGCTTCTCCTAGGCCTTCCCTAGGCCCTTCCCCTATGCCTACCCTAGGACTTTCCCCTAGGCCTTCCTAGGCCTACCCTAGGCCCTTCCCCTAGGCCTTCCCTAGGCTTACCCTAGGCTTTTCCCCTAGGCCTACCCTAGGCCTACCATAGGCTTACCCATGGCTTACTCTAGGCTTCCCCTAGGCCTACCTTAGGCTTACCCTAGGCTTACCCTAGGCCCTTCCCCTAGGCCTACCCTACGGCTACCCTAGGCCCTTGGCTTACCCTAGGCCTACCCTAGGCCCTTCCCCTAGGCCTTTCCCCTAGGCTTACCCTAGGCTTACCCCCGGCTCTTCCCTTAGGCCTACCCTAGCCTTACCCTTGGCCCTTCCATTAGGTCTACCCTTCCCCCAAGTGCCAGGAATGCTTTTGCAAATCGCAGGGCGCACCCCTCACGCAGATTCGTGGCTTCGAAATGCCAAAGATCGTGCCCTGAGAGCTTTTGCAGGTCGCAGGGCGCACCCCTCACACAGATTCGTGGCTTCGAAGTGCCATGATTGGTGTCCTGAGAGCTTTTGCACATCGCAGGGCGCACCCCTCGCACAGACTCGTGGCATCGAAGTGCCGGGAATGGTGGTCTGAGAGGTTTTGCAAATCGCTGGGCGCACCCCTCGCACGGATTCGTGGCCTCGACGTGCCGGGCGTGGTGGCCTGAGGGTTTTTGCAAATCGCAGGGCGCACCCCTCCCGCGGATTCGTGGCCTCGAAGTGCCAGGAATGGTGTCCTGAGAGCTTTTGCGAATCGCAGGCCGCACCCCTCACACAGTGTCGTGGCCTAGAAGTGCCAGGAATCGTGTTCTGAGAGCTTTCGCAAATCGCAGGGCGCATTCCCAAGCCCTTCCCCTAGGCCTACCCTAGGCCCTTCCCTTACGCCTTCACTAAGCCTACCATTGGCCCTTCCTCTAGGCCTTCCCTAGGCCTGCCCTAGGCCCTTCCCCTAGGCCTTCCCTAGGCTTCCCCTAAGCCTTCCCTAGGCCTACCTTAGGACCCTAGGCCCTGCCCCTAGGCCTACCCTAGGCTTGCCCTAGGCCCTTCCCTAGGCCTTCCCTAGGCCTACCCTAGGCTTACCCTAGGCTTACCCTAGATTTATTCTAGGCCTACCCTAGGCTTACCCCAGGCCCTTCCCCTGGCCTACCCTAGGCTTACCCTAGGCCCTTCCCCTAGGCCTACTGTAGGCCTTCTGTTCCATGCGTTTCCAAGTTTAACTTGTACAGCACGAGTGCTATTGTAACCGTGTAGGTCTTGGGTAAGCCTTACCCAAGGCTACCCTAGGGCCTTGGGTAGGTTTACCCTAGGCTACCCTAGGGCCTTGGGTAGACCCTACGTAAGGCTACCCTAGGCCCTTGGGTAGGCCCCACCCTGGCTACCCTAGGGCCTTAGGTAGGGCCTAGGGTAGCCCCCCCTTCCCCGGGCTCTATACCGGAGGAGGAGGATTTTCGGTTCGTGTTCCTTTTCTTGGGCCGTCTTCGGGCTCTCTTGGGCGGTATTGGGGCGCTCTTGGGGGCCTCTTCGGTCGTCTTGGGGTGGTCTTGGGGGCTTCTTGGGCCGTCCTGGAACGTCGTGACGCAGAAAAGGCGCGAACGCGAAACAGGACCCTGGCAGGACCCTAGCAGGACCTTGGCAGGGCCCTAGCAGGATCCTAGCAGGGCCCGAGCAGGGCCCTAACAGGGCCCCAGCAGGACCCTAGCAAGACCCTGGTTAGCAGGACCCGAGCCCCCCCCCCAGTACCCTAGCAGGAGCTTGGCAGGACGTTGGCAGGATCCTCGCAGGACCCTAGCAGGACCCTAGAAGGCTCCAGAAGGACCCCTGCAGAACCCAAGCAGGACCCTCGCAGGGCCTTAGCAGGTCCCCAGCAGGACCCTTGCGCCTTGTATTTTTCCATGCAAGATGCGCGTGGGCCGCCGCGCGCGGCGGCGGCCCTCGCCTTCTCGCGCTTGGCCTTTTCCACACAAGTTGTGCGTGGGCCACCGCGCGCGCAGCGGCCCATGGCCCCTGTGCGCTTTGTATTTTCCCATACAAGATGCGCGTGGGCCGCCGCGCGCGCGGCGCCTCGCGCTTGGCGTTTTCCACACAAGATGCGCGTGGGCCGCGCGCGGCGGCCCATGGCCCCTTGCGCTTTGTATTTTCCCTTACAAGATGCGCGAGCGGCGGTCCTCGCTCCCTCGCGCTTGGTTTTTCCCACACAAGATGCGCGTGGGCCGCCGCGCGCGCGCGATGCATACTGTATTGGTTTTATATCATCGCCCTCATGTTAAGTTGAAAACCAAGCGTTCAAAATTCAATGTAAAAAATCAATTCTCTGGGTACAAGAAGCGGACATACAAACGTGGGGTATAATGATCAATACCATATGGCAGGGGAGCGCGCGCGTACGCGCGCGCGATGCATCCTGTATTGGTTTTATACAGTCGCCCCCATGTTGAGTTGAAAACCTAATGTTCGAAACCCAATGTAAAAACAGTTCTCTGGGTGCAATAAGCGGCCATACAAACGTGGAATATAATAAAATATGCACCCGCGCGCGGGTGCACGTGCCACCCGCGCGCGCACGCGCGCGCGATGCATCATCTATTGGTTTTATACGATCGGCCC